AAAATAAACGTGTTTTGGAGTTTTGAATTAATAAGTTATTTATTCAAAAGTTATTTATCCAAAACACGTTTATTTTTAAGCACTGCGTTTAACTTCGAACAAGATCCGGATCCGAACAAGATCCGGATATCCGGATTTTCACTTAAATCTAATATTTTATCTCGGATCTATCTCTATTTCGGATATCCGGATACCCGGATATTTATTTATCCGGACATGATCGTCAGCCCTAAATAATAGTTTAATAGTAATTATTATAAATTACGTAATATTAAAATAATAATTATTATAAGTTTTACATAATTAAGTTGATATTATTTGAATGAGTTTAAAAAAATTACTTAAACCAGTTAGCTTACAGCCAACCCAACTGGCAATTTTTATTAAATTCGTTGTAACGAATTCAACAAAATTTGGCAGATGAGTTGACAACACGCTCACTCTTCTAATTTTTAATCAGTACCTATACTGGCAACTATAAATGACATTTTTCTTTCGCAAAAAAATTAAGGTAAATAAAAAATTTACTTTATATCATTTAAACGAGTTTTTCTGAGAAATAATTTAGTTTTTACGAAATAAAACAAAAGCACTTTTTTTCTAAAAAATGTAGAATATCTAAAAGTACAAATATTATAACAAAAAACCGACATCAAAGTTTCGTGTTGTAGATTACAAGAAATAGAGGCCGTCCGTTCCTGGCTCTTTGACATGGTATCAAGAAATTTATCACATTGTTCCAAAGATCTTTTACTAAATATAAAAATAATTACACTTTGTTAAAATCTGTAGATTGATATAAAAGTTTCTTAAAAACGTTGCTTCAAAAATTTCAATTTCAAAGACAAGTATCTCGGTAAAGAAGCGTCATAAAAAATTTTATCATAACTCATTTGAACTTATTTTTCTTGCTCTACATGGCTTATTTTATCTACTCTACATGTCCACGACAGATTGACAGTCCTTGCTGAAACATCCTGTATATATAGTAGCAATGTATATACCAGTGATTAGACAAACATGGTTAACGCGATTGCGTCAGGTTTTTGTTACTATCTCCATCTTTTATCAGGCTGATTACACGAGAAAGTATTTATGTACATAATGGCAAAACGCGATGAAACTAGAAGAATGAATAAAAATCGAAGTCGATAATGTCTTAGTAAGATTCAGTCGCATAGTGTGACGTCGTCCGATTGTTATACAAGTCTGCTAGCCTCGTCCAATAAATTTATTAATATCTTTACAGTAAAGATTTCTTCTATCACAAATAACTTATCGAAAGCACAGTTACCTTGTCAAAAATCGATAAAGTTAAGCCAAAAAATGCCTTTCCGAAACCTGAAATTGTTAATAATATTCAACAAAGCATTGGGTATACTTTCGTGCAAATTGGTGAACAGCCGACTGAAATCAAGCAGCACCTGGAACCGTTATTTCTGTATGGCGTGGTTCTTGTTTCATTGTTTAAACGCGAGTATTTATTATTACAATATAAACGTCGCAACACCTAAAACAGATAAAAAGGGCCTTGCTCTTGCCAACCTACGATTTGGTGCGTATACTGCCTCCTTACTCCCTTACCCCTTTGTGGCAGCCTTTTGGAGCGAGCATTTCGTTAAGGTAAATGCATTTTTCATCTTACACATTGCCAAAACGTACATAAATTCTATCGCGATAAAGATGAACATCTTTAAGATATTTAGCACTAGATTTTTATAAAATAAATGATATGCAAATTGAAATCATAGTAAATTATTATTAGCATCACGTGACCGTTGCAGTTATCCGAAAAACTCGAGATGTATGATGAACAGGCGATAACATTAGGTCATCCAAGGAAGGACAAACACGTATTCGTTTATCTGTTCTTCATATACACGTTTGTCGCATCAGGTTGTACGGCTTATTACGATATGAGGGAAGGTATAGCGAAAGGATTCATGGGGATATTAAAGGTGATGCATGATACAGTTCCTGTTATAAGTGGAACTTATTGCGTCTTTATCACGTGCATATTTCTGGATCTGATACGCCAACGTTTTCGTCACCTGAACGAGACGATAATTCCTCGCGTTTCGAAGTTACCGGTAACCGGGTCGCAGGGCGAGATCACGGTGTACACCGTACGCCAATTGCACGGTGTGCTTCTCGACGGTGCCAAACTGATAGATGCGTTATACGGAATAGGCGGTTTGTTCACCTGCTTGTCTTTATTGCTGGAATATCTTATGGTTATATACATATTCGTAATAGATTTAAAGGAAAACTTGGATATGGAAGATAACGTCGTAGACACATTAAACTTATTGTTTCAAACGATTTACTTTGGCGCAATGTATCACTTTACGACCTACGAGGTAAAAACCAAGATTTTTGTAATATGATTTGAAAATATTTTTCGTGAAAGTGTTCAACTATCCGATCTTCTTTAAAATAATTAAATGAACACGCAAATCGAAAGTATCGACTTTCCTGCATGTTATTACCTACCATTGTTCTAGGTGAATCGCGTTGAAGATCGCGTGATAAAATACGGTTTACCTTTTTCGAGTAAAAAATGCCGCATGGTAAGTTTTTCCTTTTCTAGCCGAAATGTGAGTAATAATTTAATAAACGCGACTGGTTTCAGGACAAAATTGAAATGATGTTATATTTTTATCACAGAAGATATTTTTTCACAGCCGCGCAATTCTTTCAACTAGATGTGACGATATTTCTTCCGGTAAGACAAGTTTATCCTCTATATCGTTACTAAACAATAAATTCCATTGTATTTCAGATCACTACTGCCGTATTGACGTACATAGCTTTAATAGTATAAATCATAAATTGGCTAATTACAATCAAAATATAAAAAAGTACATATGCTTGTAACAAATATATAGGTACATTAAAATGCGATCTATATAGGCACACTACGTTTTGGGGTAATTATGTACTATAGGGGAGTCAGCTCCGATGACTTTGATCTTAACATACATATTATATTATAATATAATATAATAGGATACATATTGTAATATAATATACTTCGGCTATATCTATAAGAGTTTTAGTAATTATTATAAACCACATAATGGTTAAATAGTAAATATTATAATTACGTAATAATTAAATAATTATTATTAGAAGTTTTACATAATTAAGTTGATATAATTTGGAAAAGTTTAAAGAAATTAATTAAAACAGTGAGCTTATTGTCAACACAACTGGCAAGTTTTATTGAATTTGTTGTAACGCATTCAGTAAAATTTGCCAGTTGGGTTGACAATAAGCTCACTCTTTTAATTTTTAATATTATATAAGGCACTATAAGTTACATGTTTTTTGTCAAAAAGTAAATATAATAAAAAGTTTCCTTAATAATATTTAAATAAGTTTTTCTTAGGAATAATATAGTTTTAACGAAACGACACACAGCACTTTTTTCAAAAGATGCAAAGTATCTGAAAGACGTAAAATTATTATTATCAAGAATTATTGGACGCCAGTAAATAACTAACAATGATTAGGCTTATAATCGACCATAACTGGCAGCATGTTTTTCAACATATAAAATTTATTGCGAAAAATATTACCTCAGCCAAGGTTTGAACCTGAACCTCCCTTCACTCTAGGCGGGCGTCTCAACCTCGGTGGTCGAATTGGTTGAGACACCGGCCAAGATTAAAAATATTATAATAAAAAACTGACATCGAAGTTTTGTAGATTACAAGGAATAGAAGCGGTCCGTTCCTGGCTTCAACATGGCTTCTTCGACATGGTATCTATTATAGAAATTTATTACGTTGTTTCAAAGATCTTTTACTAAATATAAAAATAATTACACTTTATTAAAATCTGTAGATTGATATAAAAGTTTCTTAAAAACAATGCTTCAAAAAATTCAATTTTAAAGACAAGTATCTCAGTAAAGAAGCGTCATAAAAAATTTTATCATAACTCATTTGAACTTATTTTTCTTACTCTACATGGATTATTTTATCTATTCTACATGTCCACAATAGATTGCCAATCTTTACGGAAACATCCTGTACATATGGTAATGTATATATCGGTGATTAGTCAAACACCGTTAATGCGATTGCGTCAGGTTTCTGTTACAATCTCCATCTTTTATCAGACTGATTGCACGAGAAAGTATTTATGTTATATTATGTTATATTACATAATGGCAAAACACGATAAAACTAGAAGAATGAATAAAAATCGAAGTCGATAATGTATTAGTAAAATTCAGTCGCATAGTGCGACGTCGTCCGATTGTTATACAAGTCTGCTGGCCTCGTCCAATACATTTATTTAATAATATCTTTCCAGTAAAGATTTCTTCTATCAGAAATAGCTTATCGAAAGCACAGTTACCTTGTCAAAAATCGATAAAGTTTAAACAAAAAATGCCTTTCCGAAATCTGAAATTATTAATAATACTCAACAAAGCTTTGGGTACGCTTTCGTGCAAATTGGTGAACAGCCGACTGAAATCAAGCAGCACCTGGAACCGTTATTTCTGTATGGCTTGGTTCTTGTTTCATTGTTTAAATGCGAGTGTCTATTATTACAATATAAACGTCGCAACACCTGAAACAGATAAAATTGGCCTTGCTCTTGCCAACCTACGATTTGGTACGCATACTGCCTCCTTACTCCCTTACCCCTTTGCGGCAGCCTTTTGGAGCGAGCATTTCGTTAAGGTAAATGCATTTTTTGTCTTGCACATTGCCAAAACGTACATTCTATCGCGGTAAAGATGAACATCTTTAAGATATTTAGCACAAGATTTATAAAATAAAGGATATGCAAATTGCAAACATAGTAAATTATTATCAGCATCACGTGACCATTGCAGTTGTCCGAAAAACTCGAGATGTATGATGAACAGGCGATAACATTAGGTCATCCAAGGAAGGACAAACACGTATTCATTTATCTGTTCTTCATATACACGTTTGTCGCATCAGGTTGTACGGCTTATTACGACATTAGGGAAGGTATAGCGAAAGGATTCATGGGGATATTAAAGGTGATGCAAGATACAGTTCCTGTTATAAGTGGAACTTATTGCGTCTTTATCACGTGCATATTTCTGGATCTGATACGCCAACGTTTTCGTCACCTGAACGAGACGATAATTCCTCGCGTTTCGAAGTTACCGGTAACCGGGTCGCAGGGCGAGATCACGGTGTACACCGTACGCCAATTGCACGGTGTGCTTCTCGACGGTGCCAAACTGATAAATGCGTTATACGGAATAGGCGGTTTGTTCACCTGCTTGTTTTTATTGCTGCAATATCTTATGGTTATATACATATTCGTAATAGATTTAAAGGAAAACTTGGATATGGAAGATAACGTCGTAGACACGTTAAACTTATTGTTTCAAACGATTTACTTTGCCGCAATGTATCACTTTACAACCTACGAGGTAAAAACCAAGGTTTTTGTAATGTGATTTGAAAATATTTTTCGTGAAAGTGTTCAACTATCCGATATCTTCTTTAAAATAATTAAATGAACACGCAAATCGAAAGTATCGACTTTCCTGCATGTTATTACCTACTATTGTTCTAGGTGAATCGCGTTGAAGATCGCGTGATAAAATACGGTTTACCTTTTTCGAGCAAAAAATGCCGCATGGTAAGTTTTACCTTTTCTAGCCGAAATGTGGGTAATAATTTAATAAACGCGACTGGTTTCAGGACAAAATTGAAATGATGTTATATTTTTACCACAGAAGATATTTTTTCACAGCCGCGCAATTCTTTCAACTGGATGTGACGATATTTCTTCCGGTAAGACAAGTTTATCCTCTATATCGTTACTAAACAATAAATTCCATTGTATTTCAGATGACTACTGCCGTATTGACGTACATAGCTTTAATAGTATAAATCATAAATTGGTTAATTACAATCAAAATATAAAAAGTATATATGCTTGTAACAAATATGTACATTAAAATGCGATCTATATAGGCACGTTAAGTTTTTGTACTGTGTTTTGATTTAATCCGTTTCCTACGACTTACAATTAGACTTTGCTGAAATCGTAAAAGAGATGAAATAATTAGAAAAAATGTAAATTAATTTAAAGTAAAGTAAAGTAAAGTAAATTGTGCAAATTAAAAATTTGCACATGGCTTCTTCATAGAGGAAGGTTTAGGAGCGAAGTCTAAGTTTTTTCAATTATTTTTGAAAGT